CGGGGTTGTGCTGCCCCCCAGGTCTGCCCAAATCTGACCCCGGCCACTGGTGGGCCAGTTTCTTCTTCGGGAAGACAACTCACCCAGCAATGACAACCGTGTCGGAGTCGCCAGAGAGGTGAGTGCTTTCCTTGGATGAGATGACCTGGGGGAGCACCGATGTGGCACCCAGGGCCGTTGGGGACATCTCCGCTGCTTCCCCTGAGGTGCATCCTGACCCCATGGGCAACATCTTCACGCCCAGGGCGCCAGCTCCTTTGCAAAAAGAAACACAGAGCAACAACGCAACGCCTCGGCATTGGCCTCACCCTTTCTTTGCTCTGTCTTGCAGCTCGGGAGCGCTGCGGGTGACAATGGGACCAATGGCGTGTGGCCTGGTGCCAGCCCCAGGGACGGCACGGAGGCGCCACACCAGCGAGCCCAGCTCCGGGCCCTCTGCATGAGCGGGTCAGCGGCTTCTCCCCATGCCGGCGGGCACAGCCCCTTCCCCCCCGTAGAGTAGGCAGGCTGCTCCAAGGCAAAGGTGCTGATTTGTAATAAAAAAAAAAAAAAAAGCACGGCAAACTACCAACAATTCCCACACCAGCTTTTTTACTCTTTCTCAACGTAACTATGCCCTTTCCCTGCAGACTCAGTGACGCGTTTTATTTACCTTGTACTCCTACAATGACAGCTAATAAAACCCGAGCAGCCTTTTAAAATGCCGTGGGGTTGTTTTTCATTCGGCAAGATTGGGAAGAAAGGTGCTGGGGCTCTCGGTGGGGCTGGACCGGGAGATTCGCACAGGGTTGGGTCATGCTGGCATCATTCACCTTGGCCCTGGTGTTTGGCATCTTGGCAAGATCTGTCTGGGCTATGATGATGCCCCAACTGCCTCCCTCACCCTTTACTTCCTTACTTGGCTGCCCAGCCTGTGCCTGCATGCAATGAACTGATTTTGCTCCCCAAGCACATTGCTGCCCTGCCCTGCTCCAAGTGCCCCATGGGGTAGACAGCGAGTTCTTGTGCCTGGTCAGGACTGGGGGAAGGATTTGGGTGCAGAGTAAGACCGTCATAACAAGGGGAGAGAGAAGGGCTTGCTCAGCGTTTGCGTTTTGTGGGTCTGACGGTGGGCTGGAGCTCATGGTGTGGCTGGCAGGTTTACATTGGGCTGGGCAAACCTGGAGCCTGGCTGGCCCGTGTGCTGTACTGCCTGGAGTGGTGTTTTGGTTGATTTTTGCCTTGAATTAGTCGACTTGGCTGTTTGGCCCCTCTGTGATCAGCCTGGGTAGCTGGGGAGTGCTGCACCGAGATAACAAGAGCCAGCAGGTGTCTGCGTGCAAGGGGCACAAGGTCCCTGTTCTTACTGGAGACAAAGAAAACCCTGGTGGGGATCATTTTAAAGGTGCCAGATCTTTCTGCTATGGTCTGCTTTCAGCCCTAGCGTGAGACACGGGACAGCCCATGCGTGCTGCAGCCCCGAGGGCACCCGGGGACCCCTGAGGGGTGACTTTGCACCGTGGTCAAGGGCGAAGGGCAGAGCTCCCAGCTGCCTGGCCCCGGGGGCAGCCACAGTGGAGGTGGATCTGCTCTTCGTCCGTGCTGCAGAGGCATCCAGGGTCACTCCTCGGCTTCACTCCCTGTTTTGACAGGGAAAAGTGCTGTGTAAGCTTTGCCCCGAGCTCTGTGTCTCCAGGCAGCAGTCCTTGTCCTCAGAGCAGGGTGTCCCGTGTGTCCCCTGTCTCTAGGAGGAGGCCAGGGCAGGGCTGGGACCTCTGCTCCCCTCCCCGTGTAAGGGTGTGCATCCAAAGGGAATGGCTGCGGGGCAGTCCCCAGGACCTGCAGCCTTGGGTGCATGCTTTGGAAAATCAAGCAAAAAAAAAATAATCCTTTTTGAATAAAACAAGATGAGGTGTGTGTCTGGCTGAGGCACTGGTGCATACCAACAAGAACTGCTCCGGGGTCTTACTATGTCCCAGCAAACCCCTTTGCTTGCTGCGCACCCCCAGGATACCTCCAGGGAGTAGTGGGGTCTCGTCTGCTGCTGATTCTCAGCCGAAGCCCTGGATTTTTAAGAGACAAATATGTGTTTTTCCATGCTTGCAGCCTCAGTAGCTACAGATTAAAGTGTAGACACACAAAGGTAAAGTCAATATTGCTGTATTTGCTTGTTGGTCTCGTGATAGTGGAGGGTCAAACCCAGCAGCAGTCCCCAGGCACCCAGAGGAGGCTGGGGCAGAGCACAGGCACCAATCCTGCATCCCTGGCTGGGCCCTGATGCCAGCAGTTCCCTGTCCAGTGAAGCAAAACTGCCTGAAAAAGCCCTGCTGAATTAAAGGGCTTTTTTTTTTTTTTTTTTCAAATGTCTGTAAAGTCTCACAGACTCAAGCTTCTGCTCTGCTCTGGGTGAAAAACCAGGGAGAGCCTGGCCCCCCACCAAGACTGTGCTCCTAGGCAGCTCCATGGCATTGCTGAGCATAAAGGACGTTGGCTTTGCTGTGGTTCTTTGGGGTGCCTGGTGCTTTTAGGGCCTTTCTTGCCCCCTCGCAGCACTCAGATGTGTTTAGAAAAAACCATCTGACAGCCGAGCACATTTATTTTTGTGCCGTTTCCATCCCCGCTGCTGTGGGTGGCGTTCCCAAGTAACAAGTGACAGGACAAGAGAAAACAGACTGAAGTTGCACCAGGGTATGTTCAGATTGAATGTTAGGAAAAATTTCTTCATGGAAAGGGTTGTCAGACACTGGAACAAGCTGCTCAGGGAAGTGGTGGAGTCACTAACCCTGGAGATGTCTAAAAGATGTGGAGAGGTGGCGCTTAGTGACACGGTGGTGGACCTGTCATGTTCATGGTTCCACTCAATGATCTTAAAGGTCCTCTCCAACCTGAACAATTCTGTGATTCCAGCTGATTTCCCATTTCTTGGGACACCGTGCTGCCCACTGTGATGGGATTCATGGGGTGACAGAAGCCAGACAAGCCAAGGGGTCTCTATACACCATATCCCTCCCTGAACATTTCCCACACACGCTTTGCACTGGGCAAGCTCCCACCTCCCCTGGCACCAACCCCCATAGGGACAGACATCCGCTCCTCTGCTCACCCACTGCTGCCACGTGATGAGACACGGTGGTTTTGACTGTTGATTAACTCACATATTTGAGGGAAAAAAAAAAAAAAAAGCCGATGCTTTCTGCTTACTCTCAGCCTTTGCAGCTGCCCTCGTACCACCCCGTCACCTCAGAGAAGCTCTCACAGCACCCCTGGCATGAGAAATATCTATCATCGCCTGCCTCTTACTTGCAGAAATTTTTATTTATTTATTTTTTTTCCTACAGCAGCTTTCCCCCCCTCACCCTTCAAAGGCCAATGTGGGACCTTAGTGACCAGGCTTTTGGGGCGGGGAGCTGCAGTGCCCTGCCCGGGCTGAGATCCTGGGAGACGCTGAGAGAGTGTGGGCTCCCCTCACCAGCTCTGCCTGCTTTTAAAAAGCGAGCAGTGGCTCAGAGAAATGTCAAACTGCAGACCGTGCTGGAGGGCAAAGCCAAGCAACTGATCAGATTTAATGCAGCTGCAGAGAAGGAAGGAAAATCTGCAGTGGGCAGCACCGGGGTCCCCATAGTCTGCAACCCCTGTCCCCCCCATCATGGCATTTCTAGAGCAGAGGGAGCTGCTGTGAGCCAGGACAGGTAGGAGGGATCCTGTCATGGGGTCTTCTCCAGAGCCCCCAGCCTTGTGCTGCTGCTCCCACCGCCCCATCACACCCTTCTCCTGATAATTTTTAGCTCCATCTGGTGGCAGCCAGACCTGCAAATTGAACATACCTTTATCGCTCCAACAGCCCTGCACCAGGAGCATCCACGCTCTTTCTTGGTGTGCAATAAACCCATCACCTACTGGACACGGTTTTAGGTTTTAATTTCTCATCAGAGAGGCCCTGGGATGTGCATGTGTGTGCTCTGCAGTTGATCAGACTGCGAAATGCTTTTGCAAGAGGAGGGTTTCATCTTGCAATTGTGTCCAAACCCAACCTGTTGCTTTTTCCTGGCTATGAATGCTCCAGCCCAGCACTGCCACTTTTCCCTGGGCACAGCTGCAGCTGCCAAGGGCTCGGCCACCGCCTCGTCCTCACTCAAGCGTCAGAGGATGCTTGGCCAGGTCAGAATTTATCACACACCTAAACTGCACTCCCACCTCCCCTTTTCCAGGCCCCTCATGCACAGAGACTTGTTCAATTAACAGCCAGACTTCTTGTTTGGTTTGGTTTTTGGTTTTGTTTTTTTTTTGCACAGCATGGCTGCTGCTAAGGCGTGGAGAGTATTGCATAAACTTAATATTAACTTGATATATTCCAGCCCTGCTGTCAGCCCTACTGGGCACCCAATCTCTCCTGCAAACAGACAAAATGGGCTTGTCCAGAGGAAATCTAAACCCAGGCAGCCCCAGTTGGGCCAGGCTGCTTTTTACCCCCAGCATCTCATTCTCCCTGCCGCCAGCGCCATGAGTGCGTCAGCGCTCAGGCAGCCCCGCTCGGGCCAGCCCAGGGCTCTGGCACTGCTCCCAGGGCGGCTTTTCAGCGAGTCCTTCCACCGCTGCCAAGGACAGCCCGGCCTCCCAGGGTGTGCGCAGGAGCAGGGAGCAAAAGGTACTTGGCTGGAGCAAACTGGGGAGGACAAGAGGCTTGAGTTCCTCCAGGGACCAGTGAGAGGCTGGTGGGACCACCTCTTGGCTTTGCACCATGGGCATGATGAAAAGCAAATCAGGGTGAAGCAGTGTCTTACCAAGCCCTGCCTGTGCCTGGGCTAAGCAGGTGTTAAATGTTTGAATGCACATCTTTTTCTTAGAATAACCACATGATGGTGCACAAGAGGAGGAGTCAGAATAGAGCAGCCCGGGCAGGAGCTGCCTGGGCAGGGTCCTTGGGGCAAGCAGGGCTGCTGCCTGGGAAAAGGGTGGTAGATGCACACCGAGGTTAAAACCTGGATAAGCAGAGACCAAAGAGACATGAAGATGGTTATATCTGTGGTTGCAGGAGTGGATCTGGTTGCAAACCATTGCTTGCTGGGCAAGGAGAGAAGCTGCATGTCAAGGACTGAGCCTCCAGGCCTGAAAGAGCTCAGTGATAGGACACGTCTCAAAGTGGAAGAGAGAAGATTTAAGATGAGATGTTAGATGAGACCCTGGACCAGGTTTCCCAGAGAAGTTGGGAAAGCCCTCTCCCAGAAAGTGTTCAAGGCCAAGCTGGAAGGGGCTTTGAGCAACCTGGCCTAGAGGGGGGTGTCCCTGCTGATGGCAGGGGGTTGGAAGTAGATGACCTTTAAGATCCCTTCCAACTCAGCCCATTCTGTGATGCACGCGGATGGATGCACACACATTTATTGATAAATACACCGGACACACACTACAAGAAAAAAAAACCAAGCAGAGCCGCAACTGAACACAAACCGGAAACCTTCACATCGGCATGGGGAGCGCAGGGACCTCCCACCCTACTGGCTGAATGAAGATGTAAACTCTGAGTTATGCCTTCACTACCACAGGGCTTTTCCAGGCTGCTACACAGCCAAGCGCTGGCAACGAGGTCTCCACAAGTCGTTGCCTTTTCCTTTGGCCACCTCCCTTCATCCTGACCAAGAGGGACCATGGGCTTTTTTCTGGGGCAAGAGATGTGCTTCCCTTAGAGCCTTGTCAGAGGGCAAACCAGAAGAAAGGAGCTTCTTGGCAAGAGCTGGCCTGGAGGGGCTCGTGCAGGAAGGATGGTGGGAAGGGGTCCCTCAGGAGAGGGAGCTGAGCAGCCGTCTGTAGATGAAGCCCAGCTTCTCCCGCAGGGCCAGGAAGGTAGGACGCTCCTCTGTGTTACCACTCCAGCACTCCAGCATGATGCTGTAGATCTCAGGAGGGCAGGAGCTGGGCCGGGGAAGGCGGTATCCCCTGGTGATTTGCCGTACAGTTTCTTGGTTCGTCATTCCTGCAAGGAAGGAGAAGGTGCCCCTGAAACTAACATCTCCAAAGGATGCCCTGAAGGTTCACCTGCAGTGGGGCAGGACTTCAAGTGGTGCTGCTGCAAAATGATGTTTGTCTGCTATGAGTCTGGCAGAGAAGCGGCTGTGGGAGATCATCCAGCCCAAACCACCTTCCTGCCCCCAGCTCTTGCACCCACTCTGCAAGCTCTGGAAATCTCTCTGAGCAATCCCCCAAAGTGGACAAGAACTTGCTCATGCTCCAGGAGCCGCCTCCATATCCCTTGTGTAAAGGTCAACATAACAATTTGTGACATTGACTTTTAGGGACCAATGGGCAAGCTGTCCGGCATGTGGATGAAGCAGCACTGTAGGGGTCTGGCAGCCCTACCTTCATACGGGATCTGTCCATACGTGAAGACTTCGTAGAGCAGAATCCCATAGGACCAGACATCGGACTTGAGGGAGTAGGTGCGGTAGTTGGCTGCCTCCGGGGCTGTCCACTTCACCGGGATTTTGGTGCTGCTGCTGGTGGAATAAATGTCATCCTGAAAAAGCAAGGGGAGATGGGTTATGAGGGATGCTATGATGAGCACAGCCACTGTTTTGGGGGCTCTGCTGGAGCTGAGGGCTGGGAAAGAGAGTGGCAAAGGAATGGCTACAGCATGGGGCAGCTTGGTGGCCTGGGACGATGGGAAGGTCCACAGCATCCTGCTGACTGACCTTGAGGAGCCGGGCAAGTCCAAAATCGGCGATTTTGCAGGTGAGTTCCTCTCCCACGAGGATGTTTCTGGCTGCCAGATCCCGGTGGACAATGTGCTTCTCCTCCAAGTACCTCATCCCATCCGCTACTTGGCAGGCGATGTTGAGCAGGTGGGAGGTACCCAGGGACTTCCCTTCAGGACCTGTTAACCCAAATGTTGGGGGCAATCTGGCAACATCCATTTTGGGTGTTCTGGTTTGGAAGACAACGTCGAACCAGGGCAAAATGTAAAACCTCAAATTGGAGGTCCTGCCTAACCATCCTGGTTGTACTGGGTGGGAAGTTCAGCACAGCCATGTGCTCCTCAAGAATGGGACTGGGGTGAGCTCTGAAGAGCTCCCTGTGCTGCAACGATGATGCAGATGTCCGTGGCTTGTTCAAAGCAAAAGGTGACCTTCAGCCATGCAAATCTCCACCCAGGCCTCTCAACCTGTCCTACCTGCAAGGTCCAGTTCCTCTGGCACCAAATGCTGCTGGAGCCCCAAGCAAAAATGAGGTCAGGATAGGGGAGGAGAACCCAGCAGGAAAACAGGTCTTGGTGGGAGTGTTTGTCTTGTTTCCCTTCAAGACTGATTACTGGGGAAAAGTAAACTGATGGCCAGGTGATGAGTAGACCATGGCCTGTTACTAACAAAACCACAGGTGGGTAAAGGAGGGATGAAGGTACCTACCAACATGCTTGGGCTCCGAGTGAGCTGATACGGACCCAGCCTACAAGGACCCCAAAATGGTCATGCCAGACTGTGTGTTGGGGTGCCCCGGCATGGGTACTCACTGTTGAGGTAGCTGTGGAGGTTGCCTTTCCTCATGAGCTCTGTGATGATGTACACAGGCTCATCCAGCGAGCAGACGGCGTGCAGCTGGATCAGCTTCTCATGCCTCAAGCGCTTCAGGTTCTGAATCTCCTTGGTGAAGTCTTCTGCCTTCATGTCAGCTGGGGGAGAAAGTTGACAGGGAGGTTGGATTAAGTGATGTCTAAGGTCTTTTCCAGCCTAGGCCATTCTTTGGCCTATGATTCTATGATTCTATAATTCTATGATGGCTGTTGTGAACTACTTTCTCACATGGACATTGGGATCTCAGAATTTCCATCTTAGATGAGGACCTTTTTCTTCCTTAATAGCTCACCTCTGCTCTCAAAGTTCATGTCTGTACACCCTGTGTTTCAGATCCAAACACCCAAGAGATGTGTTCCATGGGGCTTTGGGTCCCATTTTCAAGATCACAGTCCCAACAGAACTTGACGTATCACAAACACGTTGTACTTGCCTTATCACAAACCCATTGGATGGAGTCATTTTATAAAGGTGCAGCCCAAGCTCAGGTGGGTCCACAGAAATAGCCCAATGGCTACTTTTCGGGTTCCACCACAGTTTGCTTAATAATACAGACACAGCAACCAAGAGGACCAGGAAACAAAGCGGGATGAACAATGTGGCAGTGAAGGAGAGACCTGGTTGGCCACTGTTAACACCTGCTCCTCCACCTACCTTTTATGATCTTGATGGCCACCGGCACCGTGTTCCTCCACAGTCCTTCCCACACCTCTCCGAAGTAGCCCTCGCCCAGCTTCTTCCGGAGGGTGAACTCCCAGCGTGGGCGCTCCCAGCCATCCCTCTCAGGGGGAGTCTGTGGAAGGATTTTGCTCACTTGGACCAGCCAGTCAGGCAGGAGCTGCTGGTGGAACCTGCACCAGCTCTTGGTGCCCACCAAGACCTGGTGGCTGTGGAGGAGTGAGCAGGACTTGGTGCTCCACCATCTGCATTACTTCTGCTGGGAGCCAACATGTGCAAGGGGGGAAATTTTTGGAGACTACATGAAACATCAGGAATTCAAGGCACAACTCACTCCTCATGAGGCCTCGAAAGTGGCTTTTCTCCATTTCCAACAATCAATAAAAGTGAGTGAATTAATATTATTGCATATTATGGCTAACTTAGACTTCAATTCATTAAGGATTTCTTTTCTCTTACACCTTTCAGCTTCACTCTCGGATTATTCACACGTTTAATTGTTATTTCCAAGTCATAATCAGTGGATGGAATCTAATTAGGAAATGAGTCGGCAATTTGGGACTAATATGCTAATTGGATTTATGAGTGCCACACTAATTGACATGAAAACTATACAAAAGCAATGTAGTCTTATTATACTCGAGGAAAAAAAAATGGAAGCACTGGGATTTTCAGATTCAGTATCAAAGGGATATGTAACAACACGGTTTCTAGAAGACATTTCCGAAAAGTCCATGGGTTTTAGCTGATCAAAAATACATATAAATGCCATGTCCCGGCCTTAACATGCCTGATAAAAGGTGGTGCTGACAGCTAAATGAATGGCGCCTTTTAAATTTAGTTTAATAAATCTCAACCCCCGAACGGGTAGCCTCCCGATTTCTAATTTTTCCCCTCATTTCTCTTTCCTTTCCCACACCCTGGCCATCTGGGGCTGTCAGCGTACGTACCGCGGGGCTGCAGGGCTGCAGCAAGGGGCTCTGGATGACTTTCCAGTGCTCAGTGTAGAAGGCGAGGAGCTCCTCCATGTCGGGGAAGGGATGTCCCTTCTGGATGTAGAGGCTGCCGCCGGGGCTCTTGCAGATTCGGAAGTGGCTGACCTTTGCCTGGTTGCGCACTGCAGGGCAGGGAAAACTCACCTCGTGCCATCACCAGCTCCTTCCCACCTCCCTGCTGACCCCTCACCCTCTCTCTTTTCCAGGCAACTGGTCTATTAATTCACCCTAAAACAGCCCAGCCCACCCTTGGGGTATTATATCTATCACTCCCTTTGCTCCCACCTCCTGGCTCAAAAGATTCCTGCCCGTGGGCGAGTGGGGCTCAGTTGGCCCAGAGAGGTGATGCTCTATCAGCGGGGATAATTCCCCACACAAAGGAACTCCTCAGAGAGCGGCAGAACTTGTTGCTGGTCCAAGTGGACAAGGTGACCCTCAGCCCAGCGGACCCATGGTTGGGATGTGGGGCTCGCCGTGAATTTCTCAGGGTTGTTTTTATGTGTTTTTGTGTGTAATGGCACTGCCTGGTCCGAAACGCCCTGAATTCAGATTTCTCTCTGTGGGAGCAACCCAGGCCCTGGTAATCTGGAGTGGCAGCATATTTTTAGACAGATGACAAAAGCCACTGGAATGAAATCCTGGGAGTCAGTGCCACGAAACCATCATTAAGCTGCTGTGGATTGCTTATGGCTTTCATACCCCAGATGGGAGCAACATACTTTCCTTTGCCACAGTAATTCAGCGATCCATACCTGCATCTATTATCTTGCAATTCACTTTCTTTTTTTTTTTTTTTTTTACAAGCAGTTGATTCACTTTAAGAAGATGCCGTAAAACACTTGAAATGTATTCCTGTGTTTTTCACCTTGTGCTGACCGAGCCTCGAGCTGCCCCTGAGGAACAGCCTGGCTCCTTTCCCTGTGCTAATTTTCTCTGGATAATTGCCACAAAATTACCTGAGAGAGAATATTCACCCTTGCTGCTCTCGCTGTCCCGGACGAGGAAGGAGCCGTGCTGGTTGGGAGGCGAGAGGAGGAGCTGCTCAGCTTCATTTCGGCTGATTTTGCTGAAGTACCAGCTTGGATGGGGGAGCAAAGCAGAAGGGTTAGTGTGGTCGGTGCAAGGAGATGGTAAATAAAGCACCAACGACCTGGTGCCGCGTGGAAGGTGCTCTGGTGGGGTTGCACCCATGTGTCCTGCCATGAGAGCAACTGCTACAGGCACAGGGTCACTTTGCGCTTCTTGATCTGCAGCTCACAGACACAACCAGCTCTCAGAGCCCACGAGCAAATCGCACCAGCGAAAAACATCTCTGGGAATCGCCCTTTGCTGCTCCAGATGTGGCAGCGTTAGTTGGGGACCTCAGCACCACCAAGCCAGGAGGGAGAACCCAGCCAACCCCTCTTCTGTGCCCGATCAACGCCCAGATTCATCACCAAATCCCCATCAAGAAAGGCAGGTTGCCTGCCTGGGTCCTGACCCAGCGGGATGCACGGGAGCGGAGGGAAGGGGCTGCTTCATCCAGCCTAGCACAGCCAGACCTTGAGAAGCTGAAGGTTTCGTCATCAGCTGGGATCGCCAGCGTCTGAAGAAGCCGTGCAGGAAATTATACATGATGGGGTTGCAGCACCTGAACAAATTACCACCCAGCTCCGACCTGCGGCTCCACAGAGTCTGTGCGCTCATGGCTCACACAGGCAGTGAAGCTGGGCACGCTTGCTGCCAACTGCCCTCCCGCACGGCAGCAGAGGGGCTGGGCACAGTTTGTGCCCACGTTATAGGCATTCACACACACACACACACATACACACACATGTACAGTGCAGCGAGCCCACCCCGCATCCTCGCTGCTGCATGGTCCAAACCCGACTGGATTTGCCTTTCTCCAAAGCGCATGCAGGGGTGCAAGCGAGGCAGGGTCTCTCCCACCCCACCGGCAGCACTCCCCACACCCTGTGCGTCAGGGCCCCTTCCCAGGCTCCCCCCAGTCCTTCCCGTCACCCCCATTTCCAAGCAGTGCTGGGAGGGTTCTGCAGGGCGTTTACACTCGTCCCGTCCTTGCACTCCCCAGGAGTGACTCAGGGCCTGGGACAGAGGGAGCAGCAGTGTCTCAGGGTGCTTTGCCCGGCGTGTTGGGACCAGATTGCCTTATGCAACGATGAGCCTGGGCTTTCCCCAGCTGGGAGAGGGCTGAGTGTCAGGTAGGAGAGGCACTGACAGGAAGCGATGAGCAGGAGCCAGGCAGCAGCAGCACCGCTTGACCCTGTGGAGGTCTGGGCTTCCTGACAGGTCCAAACCCAAACTGATTCTTCCTGCAATCCTGGGCCCTTTGGAGCTGGCAGGACTTAGGTATAAGCTTTCCCAGCTCCCTCCCTGCTGCCTCCCCTTTAATGTGGAGCAAGCAGGAGCCCATATTCAGCACCATAGCTGCACCCATGCACAGCACTGTGTCCCAGCCAGGAGTCACCCCGTCCCATCCGAGGGTGATGCGCCTGGGAAGGGGCACCAGTCCCTCCACCCCTCAGCACATCCTCCAACAGAATGTTCAGGGTTGGAAAGGACCTCAGAAGATTTGCTTGCTGTGCTGAACACCTCCACCCCACTGCTGTGAGCTGCAGGATCTTCAAGACAGGGATGCCCAGGGGAGAGCAGACCCCCACTCCATCCCCACCACTGCTGATGGCAAAAGCAGGGGACGAGGAGCTCGAGGAGCAGCACATGGGGCAGGTACATGCTACCCAGGTCCAGCCTCCATCCCCCTGCGGGTCCAGAGTATTGGGTACTTACGGGCGGTGAGCCGAGGTGCCCTGGCTGAGGTTGGCCACGTAGGCAGCGGGGACGTAGCCCATGGCCGGCTCCCCCAGCAGCCGCCGGGCTAAGACATAGTCTCCTTCTTCTCGGAGGACACGCAGCTTGTCGCCCGCACTTACGCTCAGTTCCTCCGCGCTGCGGGCTGTGAAAGCGTATAAAGCGATGAAGAGGGAGGACTTGGGGATGAAGGAGACGGAGCTCTGCTCCGAGTGCAGCGAGACGGAATCGGAACCAAGATAAGCCAGCGAGCAGCTATCCGGCACAGAGCGAGGACGGAGCTTGTTCCAGAAGGACGTCAGGAAAGTCAAACGCTTCCGGACAAACTGCTCCATCGCCGGGGGATGCAGTGGGCTAGGCCACGGTGCTTCTCGAGGCTGGAGGATGGGGAGATCCTAGGCTCATGCCAGCAGCTGCGTGTCTCATGCCGCCGTCCCGCGTCCCGCACGCGTGTCTGGGCGCTCGCCGGCCCTTCCCGGCGAACTTCCTATTTCTGAAAGTGAAACTGGTTGGTCTGGTGGGACGAGTCTGAAGGTGGGACGAGTCTGCAGGTGGGATGACTCTGCAGGCGGGAGTTGTACGCCGAGACCCACGGGCACATCTGGGAGACAAGGCACAGCTGGAACCAGGCTTGCCGCTCTCGAAGAAGGAGAATAGCTTTTTTTTTCTTTAATTATTATTTTAAAGTGTGCTCTCCCTTGTTACCAGAGCACTGGTAAACACAGCTCTCTGTTCTTCAAACAGCTCTTGAGACAAGTGGCTGACTTGATCTCACTTGTGTGGGCGGGAATTATTTCTTTTTCCCGTAGGAAAATAATCGCATCCACAGATGTGTGAGGGTTAAACCAGAATTAAGGCAATAACCTTAGAAGGGATCTGAAGCAGTTTGGATATTTGCTGGGTGGATATTGTGGGGTTTATAACACAAGATCCTTTTCCTTGCGGTCTGCAATGACCTCTCGGTGTTTCCCAGCTAAAGCATTTGCCTCCTCCCACTAATGCCTCATTGCAGAGGATCTCTAGGGAATCCACCTCCTCCTCTGCTTGTAATTGGGCTGGGCAGCTCACTTTGGGTGTGCAGTTAGGTTTTAAAAGAGGCTGCTTTAAAAAAATACACAGAAAACTAATTGTAGTGGTCTGGGTTGTGGACTGCAACCGTATGGTGTATGAGGACCCATTCCTGGGTCAACAGCTCTAGGCTTGCCACGTCCCCTGTCCTGGGTGTCCCGTGATGCCCAACCAATCTCCAAAAGCTGGATTTCAATAGCTGGGATTGCAGGTCAGCTCTTTCCTCACCCTCTCGCAGACAGAGAAGCCCAGGGCAGGAGTACACAGCTCTCCGTTGCTGCACAGGTGGGAACTAGGAAAAAGGGATTGTCTAATAAAATATGCTGCTCCCTACTTACCAAGGTAGCACCTGAATATATGTGTAATTCTCCCAAGATCTTCCCCCACCTCCCAGCACACAGCCTTGCCCTCAGTTGCACGCAGAGGGGTGTCATTTCTCGGCGTATTTTTCCCACTTCAGCATAGGGAGGGGAACGGAGGACGGAGTGCAGGAGGATTTGCAACATGTGGATGGGACATCCCCTCTGCCGTCCTTCTGCAGCACTTCTGCCACGGCTGCTCCTCACCTCCCGCTCCATCGGGAGGAAAACGGGCTGCTTAGTTATGCATTTCGAGATTATCTGATTAGATTAAGCACGGAATGCTTATGCCTTACTGTTTTGGACGGGCACTCGGTAAACTTGTGGTTTGCAGCAGGAGACTGGAGACTGATTTACCTTCATTGACCCTTGCCGGATTAGATTCTCTGGGAGTACAAGCGATAGACAAGTGCGGCTGATTTATAACGCGCAAGGCTTCAGGTCTTGATTTGCACCTAAATGAAAGAGTACTTCAAAATGACAAACATCCCTGAGGACTAAACACTGCCTCTGAGCTGAACTTCCCAGACATACACAACACACACCATCACCGCAAACCTGTGTCTGCACAGGACGCGCACGCACGGCTCCGAGTCCCACGCCAGGAAACAGCTGATAAATCACAACCTTTTTCTAGTATCTTTTTTATTTTCCTATTAAGTTCCAGGAGCATCCCTGCTGCTTTGAATCCCTTTGGTACTATAAACCACCTAAAAAAAATATTTTTTTTTTAAAAAAAAGACAAAAAAGAAAAGCGTGTTCATAAAAGTTTCTGCTTCTTGCACTGTGGGAGGGAAAGTGGGAGGAGGCAGGAGAAGTGAGAAAGATACAGAAGGCACAGATATCTGATGGATCAAGTATTTTCTCTTTAGTCCCTGCGACCAGCTTACAAGGGTGTATTAAAAACCAACCTGTCCGCAGATTTGGGACACTGGCGGGTACACAGGGACTTTAGTTCTAGCACCACTAAAAAAGCACCTTGGAAGAGCAACAAAACCAGGAGACCTGTTGAGCCGAGCTGGTTACACAGTCCTGGTTTGGCTGCAGAGCACCTGGGAGCACTAAACACAAAGAGCACTTTGCATCCATGTGCGTGTCAAACACTGCACATCGTGTTCTCTCGTCCTAATTGACAGAAACCAGCAGCTCCCCTCCACTAATGAGAGCATCCATCACATCTAATTATCTGAGGTTCTGTTCCAGGTCCTGTTACGCTTACACTCGAAATACATTTTCAAGCGTTTTTTTTTGGAGGAGGGGGCAAAAAAAAAGAAAAAAAAGAGGGACATAAATCCAATTAAACCTCTAAAGGAGAAGAAAGTTGGAAAATGTGGGTCATGCCAAGGAAAATGTTTTTGAGCAGTGGGCACATAAGGGTAGGTCACTCGCTGGGTCGCAGCGGCTGCAGCGCGCCATGCCGGGGCCCTGAGGTTCCTCTTTGCTCTATCTGTTGGCACGAGAAGATGGCTGGGGGTTTGGTTTGGGCTTCGTGTTTATTCAGTTCTATTTTTAGATTTCTTCAGCCGCTTCCTAGCACCACAGCGCATTCGAGAGAGGTTTTTTGCCTCTTAACGAACTGTTTCAGCTGGGTGCCCATGGGGCGTTTCAGACAAGGGGTGGTGGGTGATGACAGCGTTGCGTGGGAAGAGAAGAGCAGATCAGCAGTACTAAAGCAGCTTCAGTTATTCTCCAGCTCCTTGGGACTGCAGAAGAAAGTGGCATCTCAGCAGACTCCAGCTCGACACCATCAAAGAAGACCGAGCCCATCCCTGGGAGGCTCACAAGGGCAGGGATGTCCCAGGGGCTGAGGAGCTTGTAGACAGTCAGTGTAGAGGGTTCAACACAGGCAGAAGTGTGGTCGTCCTGGGACAGGAGTGGTGCAGGAGATGTGGGAGGAGGAAGAGCATCGTGGGGTCTGGTGGCTGCTGTTTCTGAGCCCTGTTGGGAGCGGGTTGGACTGGCTGGTGGAGAACAGGAGTGCAGGTCACGGGGCACCTGAAATGGCACAACAAAGCAGAAAAACTCTACGGGAGGCAGCCAGAGGCAGAGCGAGCGGTTTGTACGATGCCTGGCAGGTCTGGGGATGGGCATGACGGCAGCAACAGCCCTTAAAACCCACAGTAATGCTTTTCAGGCATCCTGTAAGCCCTAGAATGCTCTTCAAGGATCTGAAATTATGGCAAGGAAAAGCCAACCAATTTGTCTTGCTGCAATTTATGTCAGATTTCTAAAGGGGAATCACTGTCAGACTGGAAAAGCCATAAGGACTAAATCAGACCGGAAAAGAATGTGGTCAGCCCACAGCTTCCCCTTCTGCTTTCTCCTGAGATTATCAGAATAGAACAGCCTTTGCTTGCCCTATCTTGTAATCTGACTTCCAGAGGACGCTCCTAGTACAGACTGCTTGGCAGAACGACGCTTCTGCATTAACTCCTCTGCTCCTCTCCCTGGAGTAATCATTTGCAATACACAAAACCCATTAAACACCTCCTCCAGACTGGCAGGGGCTAGTGAGTTGTTCATCCTCTCTTGGTGAGGATGTCCATGGAAAGAGGGAAAGGGGGCTCAGCCTGCGCTCTCTATGCCCCCAAAACAGCAGGGAGCAGAGGTCTGGCAGCTTTCCTGCCAGCACCCTGCCACGGCCAAGCAGCAGCAGGATTCCTGGGCTGGAGGGTGCTTACAGGGACCTTCAACATGAACTTCACAGCCTGAGCTGGGCAAAGAGAGGATTGGTGTTTGTGCAGTGACTCAGACGTCGAGGGGGAAATCTCTGCCAATCTGCATGCAAAGGATGGGTTGCTCCATCTGCCCAGCTGTCCCTCTTACCCTGAGGAGAAACCAGTCCATCTACTCCATCATGGAGCTTTGTGATATCTCTCCCCACAAAGGTCCTTTGGAGGCTGTTGGATTTGGGGTTATGATATTAAGCGTTGTTAGAAGAAACCTACCCAGGATCCCAGGACAATAGGCCTGAGAGACCTCACCCAGTCCACTGAGTCCATCCTGTACTTAAATCTTTCCCCATCTTTGCCAAACCGGTTCTTAAAAGACCTCCAGGAATGGATACGCCACAAGGTCCCCAGACAACCCATTCCAGTGAGTCACTAATCAGTACTGGTGGAAATGAGTGCCTAACCTGCTGCACTTAAGCCTATTACCTCTTGTCCCATTCATCAGCAGATTGCTCCATTCCTTTCTGCAATAGTCTCTTCTGTATGTCAGGACTACCGAGGTGTCCCACCGCACGCTCAGCAGCACCGCATCGATCCACCTCTTGCATCCCAGCCCAGAACAAACACACTGACCTTATACGAACAGGCAACATGGTCATCTTTGTCTCCATGTGTCTCTGGTCTTCTTCCCCTGCCCACGCGTGCTGGTGTTCCTGCGGTGCCACCTCAGCTGGCTCCCCAGTGCATTCACCTGGAGGCGGGGAGGTTGAGAAAGCAACAGCTCTAAGAGGAGTCTGCACCACTGCACAGATAATCTCTAACTTATCCCAAATTCAAGAAGAAAGTGCTGGCTCAAGCTGAGGCCCAAACTTGCATTTTCCCCTTCAGTTGTAGAGGTCTGAGCTCACAGAGCTCAGCTTCATCTCCCTACTCTACCTCTTCTCTATTTTCCACCCTCTGATTGGATGGTTGCTCTCAGCTCTAGAGGACTCAGAAGTCACAGAGGCTGCCCGTGGCGAACAGCTAAATCCTGCTCCTGGGGAGACTCCATGGAAGACAAACACTGCCCCACAAGTTTTTACCTGTTTCCGTAGGGAAGCAACTGTCTTCTCCAGTTCTGCCACAAGGGACTCGAGGTTCTCTCTGGAGGAAGGGCTTGGAGAAGGCACCTCATTTCTGGGGTCAGGGATAAAAAGTGAAAGGGATTATGCAAACGTCAGCTTCCTGGATGACAGA